AAAAAAAAAAAAAAAAAAAAACTCACGCGCGCACACACCTACCCACGCGCGCGGCGCTCTCATTTTGACGTCTTCTCTACTTCCTCCCTGCTTTCCTCGCTCGCGCGCAGTGAGAGCTCGGTTGACAGCTCGCAGTGTCTTACGCGCGGCCGGATTCAGAACATTAACGCAGCTTTTTTTTTTTTTTTACCGGCGGAACGTGCGGGACATTTTCACGCGCTGGTTGAAACGCAGAAGGTACTATTTCTTTTATTTTATTTTACTCACAAAAAAGGGTTGGAAAATGAGTATAAAGCTATTCAATGTGAACTTGAAAGGTTATTTGTCACTAGAATGCGATTTGAAGGAACATTCCCATTAAGACTTAAAGTCAAACATTTTGTTTAAAATGTGAAGCCATGTATCTGCCTATTATAGACGCTGTCAGTCCTGAAGGAAAGCAGAATAGTCATTTTAAATGAGTGGTTTTCTTTTTTTAACAGCAGGACCTCCAACTTGCGGTTTCTCTTAGTAAAGCAAACAACAAACCCCTTACTAGTCAGAGACTTTATTTTAGAGCATGTCTGGTGCTGGGTTATAATTTCCCTATTAGGCTCCAGCCTGTAGAATGGTAGAGAGTGTGTGTGTGTGTGTACCTGTCTAGCCCTCGGTGTGAGGACCATTTTTCCAATTTCAGCCTCAAATTGAGGACCGGTTGTTGCAAAGAGAGGATATTTTGTTTGTTTTTTTACTTTGTTTATTAAGCAAAATGATCTGAGACAATATTTCACATAAATGTACAGTTTGTACAGTCAATCAACCCCCACACATACAAACCAAAACAGACTATCCCTGACCAAAAAGTAGTTTATTCAAGTATCCTAAAAGTGCACTAATTTCATACTTAAAATCAGGCAGTGCACTTAGAGTTTACTTATACTAAACTATATTTCATATACCTAACAATAGAATAGGCAAGTGTACTTGACTATACTATTGTTTATGTTATTGTTTACTAAAGTATACTTTAATTATACTTTAGTAAACTTAAAAACTGCCCCAATTTAGTTCGAAGAAATAATACTTTAAGTTCACTAAAAGTACATTGTTCGGTATACTTTCTAAACTTATACTTATGTATTCTTAATAGAATTTACTTCAAGTATACTACTTTTTGCTAAGGGAATATATGAGGGGCATTCCATTAGTAATGCCCCTGGCCCACTTCCAGATATTTGATCGAGCGGAAATTTTGCATGTGAACTATTTTAAATCTCTATAGATTAAATAGCAAATTACAGCTCTGAAATAATTGTGGTTTCTCATTTACTGGTGTTAAAACTGAGTGAAGTCTGAGTTTTTGCATTTGAAAGGGGGAATTTTGATCAAATGAAAGTAATTTATCTTGATAATGTCCCATAATATAACCTTGTAAAACATTTTGCAAGGTCATATAACGGGCATCATCGCTGTAAGTTACTTTAATATCATCTTTACAGGATGAGTCCTTTCAAATAGAAAAACCAGATCACTGCACGACACTCAACAGGCTCCATTTCAGACTTTACTCAGTTCAAACACCTGTAAGTCAGAAACTACAAATAGATCAGAGCTGCAATTTACTACTTAATCTATAGAGATTTAAATAACGTCACATGCAAAATTTCAGCTCGATCAAACATCTGGAAGTGCGTCAGGGGCATTACTTATTGAACGCCCCTCATACAAAGACAAACAAGAAAAAAAAAAACTACTCATCAAACAGCAGATGCTAAATACAAGGCATAATTATATAGACATACCCACAGCCAGACATAGCATACTAATAATCATGTTCAGCATGTCCCCCTTAAGCATTGGGTTCAGGAATAAGTGTGATATCAGACTTGTTGACATATTCAAGTAATTGTCCCCAAATATTCATAAACATTCCACTTCTGCCCATCATAGACAGTCTGATCTTTTTCTAGTTTTATAAAATAGAGGATGTCCTTGTCCAGTAGAGTGGCAAAAGCAAGAACATCTTTCTTCGCTTTTGCAAAGGAAGCCAAAGTATATGTCGCTAAGGAGAGGGGGGATCACAAATATCGCAGTAAGTGCATTGGGTTTGATTTTTTCACCCAGTACTTCTGACAAAGTGGCAAACATATCTGACCAGTAACTACATAATGAGGGGCAAAACCAAAACATATGTACAAGGTCTGCTTCAGACTGCTGGCATCTATCACAAGTTGCAGTTATTCCATCATACATTTTAGCCAATCTAGCTTTAGTATAATAGACACGATGTACCACTTTAAATTGGATGAGAGCATGTCTAGCGCAGATAGAAGATTTATGTATTTTTTTTTATTTCTTGTAAAGGCACCACCTCCAAGTCCTCCTCCCACAACCCTTTTACAAAGTATAGGTGTTCAGGATTGAGAAGATGAATGTGCTACTCGTTAGGTTGAGGGTTAGGACATAGAAAACGTTGAAAATCAATGGAAGTCCATGCAAGTCAACACATGGTCCTCACTACGATGGCAGAACAAGTATGGGTGTGTGTGTTGAAGCATATTATGGGTGTTCATTTTCAGTGGCCTTGCATAAAAAATAAAAATACACCTTCATCAAGTATATTCATGTAACATCTATAATATAATATTAGTAATGTAACTTATTCTAATATTAATGCTGCCACCTCTGTGTTTCTACTTCTTAGATTGGTACGTTTAATTTTAATAACTACTTATAACATTAAGGAGTGAGGCCAAACAGTTCAGATTGGTCTCCTCTGACCAAAGCACAGGCTACCACACGCTTTGCTGTGGATCCCTGCAGCTCTTGGCTGCTGCTCTAAATACCGGACCACCATCTCTTGTTACCTTTGCTGTTGTGCCAAACTGAATATAAAGTTAGTTGCAAAAGTTTTGGATACTGTCTTATAATAGTTTTTTTAGTAAAGACATTTGAAAAGCGTGCACGTTTTTCTTTTAACTACACAGTTATACACTTCCTTGTATTGATTCATTGCATAAAATGCCAACAGAATCCATTGAGGTTGTTATTTTTAATGTGAAAAAGCAGGAAACACCTGCTTAAACTTTAACCTGAAGACCTGAGCAGTAAAAGCTCTTATCTAAAACCAGCTGAAGATCCTATCATTAAACCAAAAGGAATGCCTGACCATAAATGCTTCTTATCTTTAATATGGTTGCCAGATTCAGTACATGTCCCCCTGTGATTACGTGTTCTTTAAAATAACCTACCAGTCTTTTGCACATATAAAACATGCGACCTAGATAATCACATTTTTATCGCAAATTCAAAACAAATCTGATCTTCCCAAGTAGCTTAGAGCAAAAGTTCTTCATTAGATATTGCTTTGTGTTGCATAGTGAAACATGAAGAGTTTAGGACAAGATAATAGAAAACACACAACAGTTTTCATATAAACAGACTCTAATCGCCCTCAATCTTGACCTCAGCTTCACCAGACAGGTCACACCCACACTTAAAGCTCCCTTCTCTTAAAGCTCTGAGGTCTCTACTGAAGCTCTGCTTGGTTGCATGCTTTGCAGCCAAACTTCCAAAGCCACATCAGAAGCAGTGTAGCGGTTCACACGACGTCACGCAGACTTTGGGGGCTTGTCATAAAAAAAAGAGCTAGTCTTGTATGGTAAGGGGCCAGAAAGCCTTAGCTTTACCTAGCTTGGTTTGTCTGAAATGTATGGGCCACTCTTATCTGTTTTGCTGTGCGCGAGCAAACAGGGGGCATCTGAGTTTGTAGCAGGATCAAATGTCCTTCTCAACCACTTTACTATTAGATTTGATTAGAATGCTGCATGTTAGATGTGTCTCTGTGAGGGAAATCTGCACCATGCATCATCACTAATGCGTGCTCTCTGCAAATCTGAACACAATCATGTCCTTTTTCCATGTTTATTTAGATGCTGCCTTATTGGTTGCCGGTTCCCAGTGGTTGTTAGCCATCTGCCGCGGCTAACATGGAGCGAGAGGGCTCATTTAGGAGGTAAGACCACAAACACGGTCCTTAGCAAACACTGCCCTTCAGTTTCACCTCAGCTCCTACTGTCTGTGTCCCTTACAGATACACAAATACTCTCAATACTGTACATTAATGCACATGCATTCCTAGATGACCTCATTCGTGCTTTCACTCTTCTTCTTCCTTTGTTCGGTGATTAGACTGCAGCCTTCCTGTGCAGAATAGGGGCCAAAAATTCAGATGTGTTTCACTTCCTGCTCATATCAGAGCTCTTTGCCTTTTTCAAATCCAGAAAAGGACACTTTCCTCCTCAGCTCAGATAACATGTCTAGACTGTGATAGTGACTCTGTGCTTATTTTAAGAGTCATTATCTATTTATTGTCTAAGCTTGAAAGATTTCTTAATTAAAGCATGGCTATAAGTGTGACTCTAAAGCACTTTTTTTTTTAGATATTTTTGAGATTTGCAGTGAACTGAGCTAAGTGAGTGAATTATTTATGTGGATCCAATGTAATGATATTCCTGCAAATTAATTTGATTTCCGTTATAAAACAATTAACAAACTATAAAAACTGATTTGAGAATTGGGATTGTTACTCTTGCTATTTCCAGTCAGTTTCTTGCCAATTCTTCTATATAAGCATCTGAAATTGCTGTTTTAAAGTATGATCGATCCAAAATAGTGATTATTTTTCAGTGGTGTAGCTGCACAATCTTATTGTAGTTTAAGTTAGAGTTTTGTGGTGAAGTAGTTCATAAAGCTTAGAAGCTTTATTCTCAAACATTGTTTGTTTTCGTAAAACAGATTATAACCTGGAATGTGTTTGAACCCCCTTGATTATTTTATGGAAATATTTCCTAATGAGTAATTTATCTTTCTGGTGATGAAAAGAAATTGTTGTTAAAGTTTAAAAAGTGTCAGTGTAAAGCAACAGGTAGGGGAGGGTGGAGTGCTATAGTTTTGTTCCTTTTATTTAGTGAAGGCATGGTTGACTTTATTGAGAATCTCACGCTTCACACTAAAGGAATACCACTGGGGAAAGTACTTTTTGAAACTCTGGACTATCCTCCATACTGGACACCAACCATAACCCTCTGCGTTCATCTCAAACTGAAATGGTAAGAGAAAAAGATGGAGGGAAACGCGTCACCTTTAAACTCTTCCCTCCCTCTTTGAACCTCAAAGGGTTCCTTTGTTCGCCTGGTACAAAAGCTCTCATGGTCACATGGCCGGCGAGCTGACACAGACTGGCGAAGGGACAGAGACACGGAGAGGTAGAGCGGGTCAGGAAGAGTAAAGCTGGGAACAGGGAGGCAGACGCGCTGCTTCCATCCAGATTACTGTGACTCACACACATGGAGTGGGGCTATGCGATACCCTTTTATGTGCTTCAGTAAGTATATAACATCATGTTTGTGCCAGCAGAAGATGGTGGGAATATTTTTGTTTATAGTCCTGCAATGCCTTGCACAGAATTAGACGTGGCTTTCTCTTTGTCTTTTTTTTCACACGCTGCTTTGCTCCAAACTTCTAAGATAATTTCTTTGTCCTCTTTATTTATCTGTTTGTCCTTCAGTTGGGGTAACTGAAATTAACTTGCTTTTACCCGTCTATGAACATTTTAACCACGTAAACATGGGAGATAAGGTAACCATCCTGTTATTTTAGAAATTAGTTTAGTAAAATCAAACCAGTATAAGCTTTGATTTTTAGCAAGTGTAATATACTTCATTGCCTGGATGATTCTTTGATTCCTTACCTCATTGTTTACCCAAAAAGATCAGTGGTCTGATATCATTGTTAAAATTTAATAATGGTGTCTGCCTTCAATCTAATCTATCGTTTTGTGCCAACTTGTGTCTATAAATGCATGTTTTTCTCTTCCTTCCTGCTGGATCTCAAGGAGCCTTCACAACAAACTGCGGTTGGGCACCGGCTCGTCCTCCAGCCTCACCGACCTCTCGCAAGCCAAATGTTCATCAGGGGGTGGGGAGAAGGGAGGGACAGCTGGGGGGCTGTCAGAGGAGGCCGGGAGGAGCAAAGAGACTCAGCAGAGGAGGGCCGGTGCCAACGCCACCTGGAACAGGTCAGTGGATCAGCTATTCATCATGTTTGCTCTTCACATTTCAGACCTATCCCTCACAAATTCATTCATACTTTTTGATAGGAAAGCACTAAAATAACATTGCATAATAATTTAATGCATTTTAATTGTTTGTCTTTTAAATTATTTCATTTTATGTGTTTCTTCAGCATCCAAAACGCAGTGATCTCAGTTTTCCAGAAGAAGGAGCTGGGAGTAAATGAACTCTATACTTTAAATGAAGGTGTCAGGTAAGCTAGCTGTCACAAGCATACTGGACTTTTTTAAATTTCAGTTATTTTCTTATTTAAGTTATGTAACAAAATCATATTGTTGTTGTCCTAAACTGTGAGTTGTAAGAGTCGCCCTCATTCTCAGACCTGCACATGCATGGCAACAGCTGCTTGACCTGAATAAGGAACACCTTATGATTATTTGATCAGATAGGAAAGGACAGGTTAAGGTTACAAATGGGTCATTGCTGCTTACTTTCAGTGTACCTGAGGGATGTTTGGACAGGGCTTTCAAAACTGTGTGGTGTAAATATTAAAGCACACAAACATTAGTTTTTTTTTACTGAAAATGTATCCTTTTCACCAACAAATAACATTCTATCATTATGAATTAAAAGAATGTGAAACAATCAATCAAACAAAAAATTACCTTTACATATCAGCTCATTCTTAAAGGAGTCTACTTTAAATTTATATTCAATGTATCTGTGTTCTTCTGCATCAGAGCCGACAAAAAAGATAAATAAATAAATACAACTGTAGAAAAACATTACAAATTTTCATGTAGTACTAACTCTGGAGGAGCTGCAGAGATATGCGGCTCAGGTTTGACAGCAGAATCCACAAATCAATGCTTAATGCAGAGTTTAATTTATTTGTTTTAAACATATTTCATAATTCATTACTTTAACATTTAATCTCTTTTATGATCCAGTTTCCTTCCACACACTTAAAAATGTGTAGGCTGCAGCTGCTTTTCTTTTTTGAAATATTTACACTGTTTAGTTTCAGTAACAAATCACCATGAACTCACCATCCTGACTGATAAGGGTTAGCGCCTCCAACATCGCTCAAAGAAAGAATGCAAAATGCTGCGGCTTTTAAATATGAGCTCCCATTTTAGTCTCACTACACTGGCTCCCTGTACATTTTAGGATTCATTTTAAAGTTTTTTTATTTGTTTTTAACTCACTCTCTCACTCCATGCAGTCACTCTTGCTCCATCTTGTCTTTCTGAGATGCTGCACCTTCATACACCGTCCCGTTCACTCAGGTCAGCCAATCAGCTGCTTCTTGAGATGCCTAAAGCTAAACGGAAGCGTAGTCGTTTTTCTCTGTGGCGGCTTCCAGTGCGGATTAAAAAGTCTACCTTTCTGTCTGATTTTAAACTCATCTTTTTGCCTTGGCTTTCAAAACTATGTTAAATGTTTATTTTGGCCTGTGATAAATATTTTTAAACTATTTTTATTTTATTATAGGTTTTATAATATTGATTTTATGCTTTTATTTTTTTATGTCTTGTAATGTTTTATGTTGTTACGCTTTGCAGCACTTTGGTCCTTTGAGAAATTTTAAAGTGCTTTATAAATAAAGTAGTATTGGATAATAACAGTGATGGTAGCATAATAACAAGTTATTTCTATTTTAGTATTTTACATAAAAAACATCTACAGTACAAGAAAAACATTTAAACAGATGTTGAATGAATGTTTTTGTTAGGGTTTCTGTACTATGTAACCGGTTGAAAAGTGGTTTCACATGTAAAGAGCCGAGCAGCCATATTTATCTCCAGGTCCTCATGTTCTCTATTTGCCAGAGGTAAAATCTTTTTTCAGATGTGGCCGTATCTCCTGAACACAGAGCGCACATCGCTGCTAATTTCCTGAGACATCTGCTATTTAAACACAGCAGTTTACTCAGCGAACCCGTCTCCATCTGCTTCATTTTCCATCTAAAGACCAACCGGTGATGTGTGCGCGTCACTTCATGCTTTAAACACCCTCGTCTATCTGTGTTTCATAGGCAGCTGCTGAAGACAGAGCTGGGCTCCTTCTTCACCGAGTACCTGCAGAATCAGCTCCTCACCAAAGGCATGGTCATACTGAGGGACAAGATACGCTTCTATGAAGGTATGCATAACTTATAGCTGGAGAGGTTCTGCACCTTCACCAAACCAAATAACACCATCCTCAAATGTTGTGTCATTTATTTTTAATTGTTTTAAACTTTAAAAAGTTTTTAAAACAAGTTCCAATGACTGTAGACCAAGAGTCTTTTGGTGTCTTAAAACACAAAGTGGTTGCATTTGCAGCTGATAGATTTCAGTGACTGGCATCATGGAAAGGATACCCACAGAAAGTTCAGTTTCACCTCTTTCACCTACTGTCTCTTTCATCATTTGACTGGCAAGTCATGATGTTTACAGATGGTGAGGTCACAGATTTGATCAGAAATGTCTCCATTAGCTCATAGAAAGGGGAACTGCTAGAATATGTTTATAGAAATGTTACGGAGAAGACAGAAAGCTTCATAGTAAGGTTAATTTTAGACTTACTAAATAAACTGGGCGTATGTGCAGTGGTAAAGTTTTAATCAGTTCTTAGACCTTGTTACCTGTTAGACAATTAATTATTATTAATTATTGGCTCATATTTGATCATATTTGATCCATTTTGAATTGAAAAAGCTTCCTGGATGGGAAGCGAAACGTCTTCATACATGGAAACAAAGTCCAATGGATTGTTTTTTAACCTTTTTGAAACTCATATTTGATCTGGAATAAGTTTCACAGGTGATGCATTCCACTGTGTAGGAGGGGTCGCAGAATATTGTTGAAAAGTAACAAAAAAACATACAAAAAAGTCACTTATTTCAGAAATTGAGACTCTGGATCTATTACACATACATTATTTTTTATTTATCTTTTATTTCTTTTAACGTTGATGATTATAGCTTGCAGCCAACAGTCATTTGACCTCTGTGAAATTATTAAAAACGAACTTAGCTAGCAAAAATATTTGATTATTAGTCACAAATCTAGTTGGTTTGGCCAGCTTTTATCATAAAGTATTTAAAAACTACTTTTAGCATTTTTTTGTTATTTTATCTGATATAAAATTATTTTTGGTTATCTAAAACCAAACATTTGTAAATGGGATGGTAATTTTTAACAGTACCACATGACATCATTTTAGAGTTTGTGGGATATTGTTCACTTTTTAGGTTTCTGAATGTTAACCGATTTTAAAACAAGTGGTTTAGGTGAAGTCTTTCAAAGGAAGAAAAGCGTGGATTATTTAAATTAGTTTAAGTTTTTAGCCCCACTTTAAAAAAAAAACAAGACTTTATTATTTTCTTTTGATAAGAAAACCTGTCTAGATTTTGATTGTTTGCATCGTTTGTAGAGACCCAGGATGAAAATACACATAAAAGAGATAATCTCTTTTGAAATAAATTCTTTAGAAATGCTTCTCCATCATAAGAAATCTGGCTCCCTGCTTTGATTAGCATTGTTCCTGGTCACGCTCATTAATTTCTAAGAAACTCCGACATCACTATTTTATCTGGTTTGGTCTCAGATACGACTGGCAGGGAAAATAATTATTGACTATGATCCCAGATGCCGCGTTTACATCATGAGTTAACCATTAGTTTGAACTGGGAGTGCTTTATCTCTCCTTGGTGAATTCAAGTGAAGGTCATTTTCTGACTCCAAACACTGACTCACTTCAAATACTTCAAATAGACGAGGAAAGTAAGACAAAATTATCATGTTCCCTCTGTTTCTGCGTAATGTAAAACAATGTAGGAAGATAGAACACTCACACTTTCAGAGGAGCACACACTGACTGTGACTCTTAGTGCTGTAGTCACAGAAACAAGACAGGAAGCGATCCTTTACGTCACCATCACGTCTAGATGGTGAGAAATTTAGGATAAGCCAAACCACAGAAACCTACAGATCTATTGTTCTGACTGTACCCAAGGTGCCCAGAAGTCAATTTATGTAGGCAGGTGAAGGGATGCTGCACTTTGCAGATCTATTCATAACTTTTTTTTGCTTTTTTTATCACTGCCACATTTCTTTGTATTTCGTTGGAATTGTACGTGACAGAGCAACACAACCGTCTTTTTCTGTCATCACAATTTTAAATCTTTTTGTGGTTTTTCTCTACCAGCTTTACACACATACAAAAACAAGTTCAAGCATTATTCTATAGAAATAGTGCAAACTTAGTCAGAATACATGAAACCATCTAAAAAAGGGGATTTTAGAGGATTTGCACGTATCCTCAAATGGATCTACATCTGGACCACGCTTTGATCTAAACCTTGCCATTATAAATCTGGTTTTATGTCTTATTTGGTTTCTTTTTCTTCAGTATCAGGGACTTTCCAACCCCTAAAAGATATGTCTTTATAATATTATCCTGTGTTTAGCAATATACATCTTCCAAATGCAGACCCACAGCATGATGCTTCCACTACTTAACTTAGGGTGTAATGAGGAACCAAATGCTGCAAATCTGTCACAGGCTCCAGAGTAAAATGTTAAACATATACAAAACCGAACTGATTTTATTGTCTTGATGCGATTTTTTTGTTGCACAATTATCATCCTGGTTCCATCCAAGGTCAGAAGCTGTTGGACTCTCTGGCTGAAACCTGGGATTTCTTCTTCTGCGATGTTCTCTCCATGCTGCAGGCCATCTTCTACCCTGTGCAGGTATGAAAATCCTTAGCCATCCTCACTAATACCTTGCTGATAGCTTCATTGTGTTAATATTTTGTTTGTTTGTTTAAACAGGGAAAGGAGCCATCGGTGCGTCAACTTGCTCTCCTCCACTTCAGAAACATCATCACCCTCAACCTAAAACTGGATGAGGCTCTGTCTCGACCCCGAGCCAGAGTCCCCCCATCCATCGTCCAAATGCTGATGATACTACAGGTATCTTCTTTCTTCTTCTATTTTATATTCTTTTTCCCTCTGTTTACCCGCATTCTGAAAAAGCTTAAGCTGTTTGGCGAGCAGAAGGAGAATAAACAATCTTCTGGCGAAGAGGAGCAAGGGTTAAAGGACAAGGGCAAGTGTTTTTCTTTGAAACAGATCTCAAAGGAAGTAATTCAGTGCGAACATACAGTAGAGCTGTCTTCCCATGACCAGTTGGTCCCCTCTGCACCCTCCCTGATGTGAATTCTCCGTGTTTACACTAAACCAATAACATCCCCACAAGAACAGGAAAACAGCATGAGTGTATTAGACCTTTGACTCATATGTGTGATGAGGGAGACCATTAAATATTCCTGCACTTAAAAGTAGCTGCATTTTCATGATCGCTTTTTTTGTACATGGAAGGATCTTACTCTAAATATAGTTTTTTTTATTCAATTTTTAAGTCAGGGTTGTGCATTTGCTCTATGTTGTCTTACATTTGGTATCTTTTCTTTGATTTGCACTTGATTGTGGTTTTTCAGTGTGGGTTTGCACCTTGAAGTGCTTTACAGATATGATTACAAATTCCTAAAAACTCCTTACTACATTTATTATTGATGGCTGTCTATTCTGATTCAGTTAATTTTATGCATTTTATATAAATATATCAAGAAATACATACGCCCTTATGTTTTTATGGTAAGCATCAGTGGATGAGCTCTAATGTTAAAAACAACAAGAAACTAAAGGCCCGTCTCACATCTGTCTTTCCTTTACGGAAAATATTCTGAACAACAAATGTGTACGTTTTTATGTTTTATGTGCTGTCATATCAGGTGTAAAAGTGGTGTTTCAGGTAAGCATGGTGGTGGTACTCTGATGGTATGGGCCTGCTCCGCTGCTCCGCTAACTGAAAACCCAGAAGGAGGAAGCCATGCTTTCAGATCAATGTTCCAGCTGCAGAGCATTGATCCAAAGCAAACATAAGTACATTTCCCCTGCACTAAACAGATACCTTCTTTATTAAGCTGTACCGCTGACTTTAAATATGCTTTTGTCAAAATACAAAAGGCATCATCGTCAAACTTTACAGAAACCTAACATCTATGAATAGGAACTCAGCTGATTATATCAGACAAGGATGGGAAAAGAAAGCAGATGCAATCATTTCACCTGAGGATTGGATGCAGATTTGGAGGAACACTGTCCACCACTAATTCTTTAACATGGCGTGATTTCTGCTGGAAGAATGTAATTGGGTTTTTTATGACGCCAAAGCAGAGATCCAGACTGGGTGGATCACAGTCCTCTTGCTGGGGGGGGATGCGGTGTGGTCTCTGCGGGTCATTTTCATATGTTTAGGGACTGTCCAGAGCTGAAGATCTCTGGAAGGACGTTAATTGATTAATCTATGAAATTATGGGTATAACCTTTCCTGCTATGTACCTCGAAATACCTTCTGAGGGACTCAATAATGGAGACACACACCTGTTGAAGATATTTATGATTGCAAGCAAGAAAGCGATTACTAAATGTTGGCTCCAGCCCAGACCCCCTACTCTGAAGCTTCTGGTGAATATTATAAAAATGATCCACAATATGGAAATGCTGACTTTTACATTACGGCTCAAGAAGGAAAAAGGAGAGAGACTCTGTGAAAGATGGGATTATTTTATTGCCAAAGGCAGGTGTGTAACAGTAAATATTTGTGAATTCATATTGCTTGGACAGACACCTGGGAGTTTTTCTCTCTGTCTATTTATGGAGAATACATAGAGTAAAATGTCTGTAGAATTGTTATGCTTCTTAGTATGACTGCATACCACCTGCCCTAGCCCTGGCGTTTGATTATGTGAACTTGTATGTTTAAAAATGAATAGAAATAAAGTAAAAAAAAAAAAAAAAAAAATATATAAATATATATATATATATATATATATATATATATATATATATATATATATATATATATATATATATATATATATATATATATATATATATATATATATATATATATATATATATAAGCTTTTATCTCTTGTAAACTAAACTAAAAATAACCATAAACACATTTTGTTCAAGTTAACAGATTCCACAGCAAACCTGAAATGGATATTTTCATATTTTTAAAGGTTTTTGAGGAAAAAGGGATAAAAAATAACAAAGAAGCTCAGATTGGATCCTGAAAGGCTTCAGCTGAATTATTTTAGAAATATCTTCAGCCTAAGGAGACAATTCCTCACAAAGGTTGTCGCCTATAGTCTATATGCTACAAGCTGTCATTTTACACTAGTAGCTGTCAAGTATGATTTTATATCTTTAGAATTGGGGGCTTTTTCTAAAACAACTGTTGGGTTTTTCCCTTTAAAGCCAAAGGGTATACAATATAAAAGGGAAACCCCCCACCCCTTTTGGCTTAACTGCTCATTAACATGCAATGACCAGGACAGCTTGCATTGCATGCTAAAAGGTTTGTAAAGCTGAATCACAGAAGATGGCCGATTGAGGTTCAATAGTTAGTGCTAGCTCTATTCAGTAGGAACCAGAGACAACCTGCTGTAAAAGCAATAACTTTAAAGAGAGCAGCATCTGTTATCATCCTTTAATTTCTTATGCAACCTGCTGCTTAGAAACATGGAGGAAAAACCTCCATAATCTATAATAATAGATTAGTTCAAAAGTACTTGAACTATTTAAGTACTTAAACTGAAACTTATTGTTACATTGCCGAAATCAATGTTAGTTTTATTTGATTAGATTACTTCCTACTAGTTACTCTAACAATCTTCTGATGGTTCTTACTAACACAACAAACTTTCTATTTCGGACCACCATGTTCCTCTCACCAGGTTACAGCTCTGTCGTCTTTCTGATCATCTTTTTAGTGCCAAAATACAGAACACAGCATTACAAAAACAGCTTGGGTACTGCATGAAATAAGATATAGACTCTCCACAATTAGTAGACTATATGGAACAGGTGCATCTGGTTGTATCTATATTTTTTGTCCCTATTGATATAAAGATTTGGTTTCAGTTTGCTGCTCAGTGGAGCAGTGGGTAGCACTGCTGCCTTGCAGCAAGAAGGTTCTGGGTTTCTGCATGGAGTTTGCATGTTCTCCCTGAGCATGTGTGGGTTCTCTCTGGGTACTCCAGCTTCCTCCCACAGTCCAAAAACATGACTGTTAGGTTATTTGGATTCTCTCAATTCTCCTTTGGTGTGAGTGAGTGCGTGAATGGTTGTTTGCCAGTCCCTGCGATGGACTGGCGACCTGTCCAGGGTGTACCCCGCCTCTCGCCTGAAGACAGCGGGAGACAGACCCCACTTAGGATTAAGCGTGTAAGAAAATGGATGGATGGTTTCAGTTCGTCCAGATGTGTCCTGACCAGTGGAGACTTGACTACTCAGTGCTTTTTAAAATATGTATTTTTGGTTCTGCTTTGGGTTTTTTTTTTTTTATAGTCTCTGTGTAAAACAGAGGTAGTCGTTATTTTTCGTTTCTCATCTCACTGCAAAGAAAGTCTGATTTTGATTATTAATACAGTGACCTGAACCTGATAGTTCAGCGATAGCTTCCATTGTGCAGAATCCCTCTCCTGGCTCTCCTTTATCCTATTGATTGTTTATTGATCATCTTCTTTATCAATGTGTTGTCATCCCAGTTCTGGACACCTAGATAGGAATGCTTCGGTTATTCAATTCTTCTGTTTCATTCGCTTTGAAACGTGTTTTCTCAACTCCAAGCTGAATTGATTTATTTTATCCATTATCAACCAATAAAAGGTAATAATTAATTTTTTACCTTGGTAGCTTTTTAAGCTTTTGCCCTCTACTATAACAGCTTCGGCAACAGTTAATGGTTATCTATCTGTGGTGGGCTCAAATAATCAGTAACTAAACATGGGATATGTTAACCTGTTTGACTTTCAGTATTTCCCTCCGTGTTTCCTTTTTTGCTCTCTGTGCATCTAGCAGAGGCTTGTGTCTGTCTGTGTCTGGGTTAAAAATGTAGTGACTCATTTACTTAAATCCAACTCAGAGATGGAGGCCACAGGCCTTCAGACAGAACAGCGGATGCTTTAACTAAACACACGCTTTAATCCTGTTATGTTTACTTTTAAAAAAAGACAGTAAAAAAAAAAATAGGACGGACATGCAGCCTGTTTATATTCAGTGGTGAATATTATTAATCCTCATTTTATTCTTTAGGACGATGTGGCAGCAGTCGACTGAAGTGAGCTCTGCTCGTGTGGTCTGGTTCTGGGCTGGTTTCAAGCAGCAGCACGTGATTTAGAGTATAGAAACCAGGTTGGCTTCTGCAATGAAAGCCAGCTTTACATGACAGACCTTCTGTCTCAGCGCCTCCAATAGTTTTTATAATATTGTTGACATCTGCAGACAGAAACAGCTTCAGTTTATTAAGTTCCTTAAACACACAGAATAAATTTGTTTGCTTATTTTATTGTTTTTAAAGCATCCAAGAAGTTGCATTAATTTCTACTTATATTAAAGCAATTAATGGCTTCACTCCTAAAAGTATGTAATTCACTGTCTTTGTTCTTTACTATTTTGACATATTTTGTCACTTTTTTCATGAGATGTCTCTTCCTACAATTTCTCCATTTTATCTGAGCCTCTGTTTAATTTTAACAATTCCTTTGGGTTTTTTTTCTAATCTAATTTGACTTATTTTGGATCAGTCTCAGAAATGTCTCTGTCAACATACCAGATTTCAATTCTTTACCAGATTTCTTTTGATCACTCTGTGCAGAATTGACCTTTATCTTTCCAACAATACCTCATTTTTATCAATTTTTTTTTTAATCCTGAGAAAATCTGATTTCTCTCTTTATATTTTATTTCTGTGCCTTTGATCCAGGGAGTCCACGAATCCAAAGGTGTAACAGATGACTACCTCCGTCTGGAGTCTCTCATCCAGAAAGTGGTCTCTCCCTACCTCGGGACTCATGGTTTATACTCCAGAGACGAATCCTCTAATTTGCACTGCTCATCCTGCTTGTTAGGTATGTCTGTCCTTCTCTGCTCTCATCTATTGTGTTTCATGTTCTACAAAATGTCTAAATCTGTTTCTTCCTCTGTAGAAAAGAAGCTGCAGTACTCCAGAGCTCCCAAATCAAACGGCTCTCCCACTGTGAAGAATCCCGTGGTCCGCTCTAAGAGCTATAACGTTCCCATGCTGACGCCTGTCGTGGAGTACGACATAGACACGTCCTCTGGCGGCAGCACGGGCATCAGACGCCACTCCGTCTGTGAGATGTCGTCTTGCATGGAGGAGAGTAGCTCGCTGATTAAATCCGTCGTCAGGATTTCTGAAAAAATCAGCCCCTCCAACTCCTCCATATCTTCTACCACCTCTGCTGCTCTCACAGGTAAACCAGAGGCTTCAACTTTTAATTTTACTGCGCCTTGCATAAAAGCAGACACACCCCTTGAGCTTTGCCACATTTTCCCATTAAAACAACAAACTTTAATGTACTTTCTGCTGGATTTGATGTGATAAACCATCACAACGTAGCCTACTGTTCACAGTTTAGGGCATCACTTTAAAACTTCACCAAGTTCATCCCTGACATATTGGCTGTTTAGCTTTGCCATTTTTCTTCCTTTTTGTTGTGAAAATATTTAACAATCATGTACTTTCCACAATATGCTCCAGTATGTCTTTTTGAGGCACTTTACATTAAAGTAGCAACAAAAAATGCTCTGATTATAACATAGCTTTTGTAACTGTTTGTTCAGACACTTTAAGATCCAGTCAAGACCTCCAGCACAGAGACAACCACAGCCCCGCGTTGCCCCACCTGCTTAAACCCCAGCAGCCCTCACCCAGCATCCTTCCCGAGCCTTCCCCAAGTGAGGACGCTATTTGTTCTGGCTCACTGGAGTTTGACTCGCCCTCTTCTTCTAAACTGCTTGCACAAGACACGAGTTCAGGGCCCAGTCCGGCCTCCAGCACTGAGATGACAGCGGACCAGAACACAGAGTCTCTGGACTCAGAGCAGGAACAAGAAGGGATCTTTCTGGACTTCGCGCACCATTGCTCAGGGGACTCGACACAGAGCGAAGACAGTGACAGGCAGAGCATGGCCTGACACTAATACAGACAGTTATTAGAAATGTTAACACTGCCTAGCTGCAGATATTCCCCACACTCTGGCGCCCTCTGTAGTTTTTCTCAAGTTCTTACATCTTAGAGACTAAAGCTGAATTATTTTTCTATTATGTGGAATCACTAAATATGTCAGGTATTTTTCCTAGGGCATAAAACAAGGAGATGTAAAATCAGACTTTATATTTATTTTTTTAAACAAACTATTTTGATAATTGTTAAATCTGTGTTTTTAAATCTTAAGCTTTTTCACCACCGCTGGGCCTTTTACTGGATTAACAGCGTAGTTCTTTTTTAGAAAGGTGGTCTTTTACTCTGTGATTAAATTTATTTTCTAATGTCTGTTTTGTAGGTTAAATGTTTCAACATTGTTAAACTCTGTTTTAAAGTGGCAATTTAGTCCTCGGTAAAACGAATGTCACTTCAAAATGGACATGCAGAGAAAAATATTCACAATTTAGCTTTAATCTAAAGACAGGATCACATAAAAGGTCATTTGCATTTGATTTACTAAATAAAACCATATAGATGTAAATTATTTCTTGTGTATAATCTTTTAATAAGCTACAGGTGGTGACTCTTGAGACCCTGAATTTAAGGAGTCCTACTGATTCATGCTGTATGCAAGACATCCAGCTCCTCTGATTTATATTTCTAACATCAGAGTTCCTGCACATTTGATCACAAAATAATAATAAAAAAAAACTTTAAAAGCACCCTTAGGGCTCTCTTTGACACATATACCAAGTTAGGGAGCCTTAAGTTTAGTTCAACTGAATTTAAGGTAATAGAAAGACCAAATATTTGAAAAACCAAGTCTTCAATTAATAGTTTTTGTCAATATATATAGTAACTTTTGAAATTAACCTTTTCTATTCATGGTGTTATTATTTTAGGTGAAACTACTGGAATATTTATTTAGTTAAACAGTATTTTCACTTTTGTGTTTCTGTCTTTTTGCATGTGTTAAGCTAAAACAGCCACTGGTGAGTGTTTCCTCTCAGGAGCTCGCAAGAATTTCTTTTATATGTTTATTACAATCAGATTGGTAAACGTAATAAGAGAGAAAGGAAGGTGGCCAAGGCAAAAGGAGGAAGAAAAGTTGTTTCACAATATCAAAAGGAAAATAAAACAACAGAAAGAAACAGGAGGGAAGGTGACAATCTTTAATGTTAAAATGTATGACTTAGACTTGGGCCTAATGAAATAAACAGACTCTTATTTGTGGTAGTGAAATGCTGGGGAACAGGTTTTTTTTTTTTTTCACTTTTCACTTTGAAATGTCAGAATTAGACTTGTCTAAGTCAATCAGGATTAACTAATTAATTAAAAGTTTTGAAAATAAAACTAGATCTTATTGGCTTATCTCAGGATGACCCAAAAAGCTATGTTTTCGATACAGCTTTTGTTGTTTTTGTTTTTCTTTTTATTCATTGGTTCACATTTCTTACCACTAAGTGGTGGTAATGCGTTGATAAGCTTTTTGCCACCCGCCAATATACACCACGAAGAAGAAGAAAGACGGAATAGGGGCGTTTCCATTGTTTCTGCTGAGCTGCAGTTCTGCAGCTGCACCGCTGGGCGGACGGATTCGAGGAAAATGGCGGACGGTGTGGATCACATCGACATTTACGCCGACGTAGAGGAGGAATTTAGCCAGGTACTTACTACTAAATCACCCCAATTTTTCTGCAATTGTGTATTTCCTGTATGATAATCATATTTTCATGATACCGTGAAAGAAATATAGTCGAAGTTGCTTATCTCGTATTTAGGCCTCTTTCGCCATGCTGCAAGCCTGCAGATCTTCAACAGAGCTTCATGTGACATAAAGTTGTCGATTTGCATGTTTTTGCAAAGATTTTAACTTTAAATAAATTTTTATTTTGGTCAAAGTACCATATATGTTAGTGGATATCATGGGCTTTATTGTGCAGAGCACATCAGACCTCGACACAGTTCCCGCGATTAAAGCTAACACTAGCCAAACAAACGCAGTTTCCTTTGCTAGCTAGTAGCTAGCTAGCTAGCAATCTAGCTTCGTGCCTTTCTCTCAAACCAGCTGTTTAGTGAAAGTGCTGATTTGTTTGAGCGGAAATCTAATTATGTTTAGTTAGTTAAACGATTACAGGAAACACCGCACTTATTACCAAGTGATTCCCTTTCCATTGAGTAAATTCAAACTCAAATTTATTTTCTAATTAGCTTATCCTCGCGCATTCTTTCATAGCCACGCTCTTTTGTTTACTTCTTCCTGTGTGCGACCAGAAAAGTTAACATAAACTCAATGTTGGGAGAAAACAGATTGTTTAGGCGTCATCTACACAGCATTTTCCTCCTGTGATGTAAAATACTTATAGATAAACTTAAAATACCTATAATAAGCTTACCTAATAAAATTATTTTTTTAAGTGGGTACATATATTTGCAGTTTATCATATATTAAAATGAAATAATCGGGCGTTTGTGATTAATTAGTTTTTTTATGTAGGGTATTGATATTATATAAATTTATTATATATATATATATATATATATATATATATATATATAATAGAGAAGGTAGACATTTTATTATGAAGACTATAGGACTAGTTATAAGTGCCAGACAATGTAGGAACTGCACTCAGAAATATCTTTGTAGTTTTTTAAAATCTATAATAAATAAATGTTGGTTTAATTTGATTAGCTTCCTATTATAGACTAAATAAATTTTGAAGCCAGTGATATTTATCAAAAGCAGGATGACCTCATGTTTTCCTCATATCACACAGCTCTATTTTCTTATTATTCAAAATTAAGGCAAATTAGTTTGGTGGACATTTCTTAATGTTTTTAGGATGCAAATTTCAAAAGTTGTATTGTTGTTCTGTTTGGATAAGATGTTAGTTTAAAAATAATAATAATAATAATAAAAAAAAGGGACTCGTAGTTTGTTATGCTCCCACCTCGTTTGGTAATTGACTAATAGTTTATTATACACGTATGTGCTTATTCAACTTTGGTCAATTGAAATATAGATGTATGCATACAGATTTTTTTTTTTCTTCATCTAAGGCTTATATGTCTGCAGAATTTCTCTCCTTGTTTCGCTTGTTTAATTGAGTGATTGTCTTTCTATAACAGGAACCAGAGTATCCACCTCACGAGCAGATTGATTTATACGATGATGTAATATCCCCCACGGCCAACAATGGAGATGCCCCTGAAGACCGTGACTACCTGGACTCGCTCCCTGCCCCAGGAAACACGGAAGGTGGGAAGAGTACCCCGTCTAATGCTGCATACTCCTACACAGGCAAACGGATTGCCCTATACATAGGAAACCTGACATGGGTAAGAAACAGTGAAGGCTCCATCAAATGAAACGCCTCTGACTGGTTTAAAAGCTTCAAGCATTCAATGCTCTTTTAAATTAGTCCCACTATGTTGATGACATTGTCTTTTGTTTTGCAGTGGACGACAGATGAGGATCTGACAGAAGCTATTCTGTCAATAGGCATTTCAGATCTACTAGAGATTAAATTCTTTGAGAACCGAGCCAATGGCCAGTCTAAAGGGTAAGCTCATTCAGATCTTTGATGTGATGAGATGCATCTAGAAATAGCTATTATACTTTTCCTATTTTGTTTTACTTAGTTTAGCTGGAAATAATTTAGTTCTAACCTTGTACCCCCATATAACTTGGTCCCAATTCTCTGGAAACATGTGTACAAACTCTGTAGGTTTTCCACAACCAGAGCTTTGTGACTTGAAACATGTCTTAAAACCCCTTTTTCCCCCGGATAAAAAATTGCAATTTTTATTATGTTTTATGTTTTGCATAATATATAGTTGACCCCTCCCACTTATCACGCTTGTTCATCATGGACAATAACTGTTTAAAATGTCAGATCTCTAGTCATAAGCATTGTGAAACTATGACCCATTTTGTATAGCCTAGTAAACTAGCCCCACCCACCAGCAGCCAAAATCCATTTTTGCCTGCGAGTGGTCTAGCCCCAATCAATGCCCCAGGCCCTAGATCTGGCGGGCCAATCACAAAGCAGAGATGTGTTTTGTATTAATTTCTCGATGCAAAGCGCGCGGGGGTTTGAGGGCGTGACGACAAAACTGCGTGACGCTTGAGAAAAGACAACAAGGAAGATGGCAACAACTATTGATCAGTTCTCGTTTGACTCAGCGTTGGAATCAGTTTTGGAAGGTTTAGACTTGGGGTTTTCGTTGAAATGTGAGCAGGAAGAGGCTCTACGCTCATTCATTTTTAAGAAAGACGTATTCGCCGTTTTACCGACAGGCTGTTAGTTTACACTCCCCCACCAGCTTTCTGTAGCGCTTACTATGTCACAGTCAGTTGCGCTCAGTAGTCAGAGCGTTGGCCAATAGGCACAGACATGGTTTGAAAAACAACGGGTTGTTCTAATCGACAATCTTCCGTTATCTCATTCATCGGGGCCAGACTAAATTACACATTTAATCTCACATTTAGTCTGGTTTATCAGGCTACGTTTTGCATGTAAAAGGTCCATTTGGCACAATTGTGCTAAATTTGGAACAGTGGTTCCAAACTGATTTACCGTATTTTCACGACTATAAGGCGCACTTAAACGTCTTTTTTTTCCCTCAAAATGTGCGGTGCGCCCTTTGGTGCGGTGCGCCTTATGTGTGTTGTAACTGCGACTTTTGAGACCACCTCATTGAGGAGATGATGAAAGAGTGGCTGAATGTAAGGAGACCAGGTGTTTTTTTCCACTCATCACCATCGCTGTTAATATGTAACTCCATGCGTGCCCATCTCACAGCTGATGTGAAAAACATGGGGAAACAAATTAACGCTGTGCTCGCTGTTCAACCGCTCGACATCGGTGTGAACCGGACGCAGCAGGTGCAGCAGAAGCAGCGAGTTTACATGCAATGTCAAGGGTTGACGCGCGTATAGGTGCAGCAAAAGGTCCCGCAGCGCGTTTTGAGCAGCAGGCGCTGCGCGTCGGGTGCGTTTAAGCATCTGACGCACCGCCAACGCGCTGCTGCTGCTCGAGATGGAAGTTGAAGTTTTGCTGCTGGACGCGCCGCATCAACCAATTAGAGAAGCTGATCTGGGAGCTGACAGCGAGACAGACACAGCGCTCTGATGACATATGATATTAACGCAAATGAAAAAGGCTGGATGGATGAGGAGATGATGAAAGCGTGGCTGAGGCATGTGTATGTGAGGAGACCAGGTGTTTTTTTCCAAGCATCACCATCGCTGCGTGCCCATCTCACAGCCGATGTGGGGGAAAAAAGGTGAATCAAATTAACGCTGTGCTCGCTGTTCAACCGCTCGACATCGGTGTGAAGCGGCCGTTCAAAGTAAGGCTGTGAGCGGCGTGGGAGCGATGGATGACAGACGGAGACCACAGGTTCAGGATAAGTGGAAGGCAGCGCCGAGCAAGTTACGCCACCGTTTGCGGATGGATTGTAGATGCTTGGACTAACGTGTCTGCTGGCTCTGTTGTTCGAGCTTTCGCAAAAGCCGGCATTATTTCTGAGGAGCTG